GTCAAATGAATAAGTAAGATACTTCTTTATCATAATTATATACATCTAGGAATACAAAATAATTTTATGTGCTTGAATGTTTGGTTGTACAAATGTAGATCAACAATGGAAAGGCTTGGTAATTTGAAGTACGATGTAGAAGATATCATCACAAGAATTGGTATCAAATCCAGGAAATTTAGCAACGCTGGAGAAAATTCAACAAAAATGAAATCATTGGAGGAAAACTCAAAACAAACTAATTAACCAGTGGAGGGTTCAAAAACCATGTTTATACCTCAGGATATTTTTGAATCAATCATGAAGATCTTAGTCAGAGATTTGGCTCAACAAGGTTTATTTCTGATCTCAGATCCTGATTTTCTGAGTTTACAAAGGATTTCCTTTCAAACAATAGATCTTCTTTACAGATATGAACTACTATCTGCAGAAGATCTAAAGAACTTATTTCAAATGAATGAAGTGAAAACTCATGCTGCATACAAATATATGGTTGCCTCATTTTCCCATTTACATGAAAGAATACGTTATTCAATTCCTCTCAATGTAAAGGCAATTCTCAATAGCTGGTATTCATCTCACTTTGAGAACATTTATGAAGGTAAAAGACTCTTTTCAAAAATACTCCCTTTCTGGCTTAAGTCTTACTGATTTCTTTTTTCCTTTTCCTGTTACTTGATGAATTCAAAATGTTTTTTCTTTCTCAAATTGAATCATGAATCTTAGTTCTTGAAGAAAATCAGAAGAATTATTTTTGGTATTCAGCTTTGAATTTTGCATTCAAATACTATTGTGACCTGAGGTTCAATAGTCTATGATTCCTTAGAGTAGAAGGAGTCTTTCTCCTTCGGAAGTCTCGGAAGAGACTTCCTTGGGTACTGTGCTGCGGCGAGGCAGATGGCCTGTAACAGGAATGTTACAACAAATACCACCTCAATCAACACAAACATAAAAACGAATGGCAGAAAATTTTTTCCTGGCAATCATATGAATATAAACTGTTTGAAAAAGATAAATTTTTCCATGCATTGGAGGAAGATTATCTAGATTTTAATACAGAAGAATTGAAAGATATAAAACGTTATATGGAACATTTAGCTGAAACATTTATCAATTTTCAAGCACTAAGCGAATATCAGCAAAAAGTAACAGGTCAAGAGTTGGTGTTTTTCTCTCAGTTCTTGGAATTTGTTGAAGAAAAGTATAGCCACAACACATCAAAGTTTTATCAAACCAATGATGATTTGAAGATGAAACTCAAGTTGATGTCTTCCAGTAACCAGTTTATAGGAAAATTAGATGATATTCTAATGTACTGTCTTCTTGAAGTCTCCAGCAACATTCTCAGTCAAGGCACAGAAAACTTGCCTGAATTTTCTGATCAGCTCAGTTTCATCAGAGAAAATATTAGAGATATTCACGCAGCTCATACAGAAGAAGTTTCAACAATCCTGGGTGGTCTTCCATCACCAATGGATTGCTATTGCCAGCTTAAAGAAATACTTCATGGTGTTGAATTCATACAAAACCTTTCAATTTCTTGTCTTCAAAATATATTTCACAGTCCATTGGACAACCCCAGTGTTGCAAGAGGATTCAGTCTTTTTATTTCAATAGTAGGGGGAGCAGCTTTGTATGGTTTTTTAATGATGTTCATTACGCTATCCAAACATTGAAATTTTACAGTTTTTACCAACATCATAAATGTTGCATCAAATTTTCACTGATTGTGTAGAAAGAATCAAAATAATAGTATCACTTAAAAACTTTAGTATAATCTTGATGATCAATACCAAAGATCTTTTTGGTCATCAAATTTGAAATGTTTTCATCAAGCATCTTATCAATCCAAAACTTGAACCTTATTTAACCAAAATATAAAATAAAATTGAACTCATTGAATATAGTTGGTCTCCTCTCTCCATTTTCCTCCCATACATATGTGTCTAGACTTTTGATATCCATGTGTTTCAGCTCTCTTTTTTCTTTTTTTCTCATTATGAGCATACCTTGTAGCATACTTAAACTTTCCAGTCATTATTAGAATATGTTTATACTCATTTCATCTGCATCACATATCCAGCTTGTTTTCTTCACTATTTATAGATTGACTTTGTTGATCCAGAAATACAAACTCATTGAGTCTTTCCCTCTTTGACTCTTTCACTCATCCATTAATATAGATAACACAATTCTGATGTTGTTTACTTTCTTCCTGAACTGTTCAGTATCTCATCATCAATTTTATTTTGCATGACCTGCTTGTCTGTTTGATTTTTTTTAACTTTTCTCATTTCTCTAAGCCTGATCTTGCAATTACTTGATTTCATTTTCTCAATATTTGTGCATCTTTCATCTCAAGTTTCATGGCCAATTGATCATTTTTCCTCTTCCAGTAGCAATACTCCTTTGACAAAAAGGATTATGCATGGATGAAATTGGCCAATCCTCAAGGGTCTGTCTCTCTGGGGGAATGATAATTACACTCCCCCCCCCTTGTGCATGCCAATCTGCACACCACTCCCCCCCCTTTTGCACGCCAATATGCACCACTCCCCCCCCCCCTTGCGCACACCAATCTGCACACCACTCGTAGATTGGCATGCAGGCCCACATGCCAAAGCCAATTGGAGTGCAGGCCCACACGCCAATCTGCGGCGGGGTGAATCATCCTTTGATACAACTCAATCATCATTGTTGAAATTTTGAGCTGAGGCGCGGAGAAGGTTAAGGGCCAAAAAAGGAATCTTATTTTTGGGAGTGGCTTGCAGAAAAAATGAGAGTAAGAACCAATGATTTTTTATTCACTAGCATCTAGTCATACTTTAAATAGACTAAATACAAGCAGTCAAAAAGTGGTTGTGAGAATTGAATAATAAAAAACTGAGAGGAAGAAACATGAGTCTTTGGAAGAAACAAACCGGAAAGAGCTTCTCATTCTCTTTTAGTCGATCCAGTTGAGTGAATCAAGAAAAAAATTCTGGAATCCACAGATATTTACAGTTGTTAATTCTAAGTAATCAGTCTTTAGTAAATCAAACAGAAAGATCAGAAAAGAGAAGAAATCATTTTAGAGACATGAGTTGTTGAGAAGAGCTGATTACTTACTTAGGGTTCATATTTGACTCAAAAGGTGATTAAAAACAACAAAAAACAAGCTACTTGATGAGTATAATCTGGTCTGATTTTATTATGACTTGAAGGAGATGAAGGGAAGAGAGAGACAGAAATGAGGAAAATTCAACAATCATACTCACTTACAAACACCAAATCAGGATAAGCCAGTGGATGACTTCCCGTCAACATCTGCCGGTCTCCCAGTTTTGATTTAGAGCCGCAAAAGCTAGATTTTCCTGCAAAAATCTAGACTTTTTGGGTCTAAATCCAAAACTGCAAGGGTCCCAGATCCCTCGGGAAGTCCTCCAGTACAACTTGGTAGTGGGATAATGATGATTTAGTGGTTTCAAATTTTGGATAAGTTTTTGGAAGTTTAAATAAAGGGTCCGCTGTAAGACTCAAAAGTGGTTGTGAGAACCCTTTTGCTGAATGGAGAAGGGTATGGTGGAGTTGCAAACTCTGCCCTTCTATACTATCAGATAACAAGACCCACCAAGCTTAGCTTGGCAAGTTTTAATCAAGTGATAGGGGTGGTTGGTTTGAGATTTCTTTGTTTGATCACAGTTTAATGATGTAAGAATTGAGTTTCTGAGAGTATGAGAGTGAGTTTAGTGTGTATTACAAGTGTAAGGGTTGTTATTGGGTGTTATAAAGGTTGTTACAGTATGTAATGTTAATGGTATGGTATGTAATGGTAGGGGGTATGTGATTTGTGGGTACTAAACTGAGGGGAAAACAACTGGGAGGAGAGCCTCCTTAAATAGACAACAATGAGTGATTTTGGCTCCAAGGGAGCAAGAGAATGAGAGATTTTAGCTGGTCAGAGCTTTACAATGAGGTATTTTGGCTAGTTGTACAGCCTACATGATGTAATTTGAGATATTTTAGCTAGAAGAGGCAGTGTTAGCGCTGGAACCCACGGGGTACCCGAGCATTTTGGCCTTGCCCGCGCCCCGACCCGAGGGTATTCCCGTTCCTCGGGTACGCAAATCAGTGCGACCGAGACGTACCCCCGGGTATAGGGAACGGGCCACGGGTGCCCGCGGGGTTAAATTCAAAGCGGGTATACCCGCCCAGCAGAGGGTATACCCGCTCACCACAGGGTATACCCGCCAATACGAGGTCCCGCCTTGGAGATACCCGCGGGTACCCCGGTTTGTGGAGGAGTAGAGGCCAATTGGCCCCCACTGCCCCTCCCCCAGCGCAAACCCAAGATACCCGCGGGTATCTCCAAGGCGGCCCGTGGACCGTACCCGACCTACCCGCCGGTCTTTGGGCTCCTGAAGAGCTGTCCCGGAGCCCTAAACCGTCAGTGTACCCGCCGGGTATACCCTGAGATCCCAGGAACAGGTTCCAGCGCTAGGCAGTGTACATGAGGGGTTTGTGCTAGCCTAGCAATCTGCATGATGTCATACAGACTGCATGAGCTCAGCTGCAGGAAGATTATCACATGACCTGTCAAGCTGCACACATGAGCTGTACATATGACCTGACAAGCTGTTTAAGCTGTACACCTGTAAGAAGATTATGATGTCATCTGTTTACCTGTGTCCTGTAGTGAAGTATTTGTGTAAGTTGTGTTTTGTAGTTGATTGACATGTCCAAAGGTGTGTAGCATCCAAGCCAGTAGAGTTACAGAGATTCCTCCAGTGGTGACCATAGGTGAAATTGACCGTAGAATCCAGTTCTTGAGTTGTAATGAGTGTTGTTTGAGAGTAAATATAAGGAAAAATGATAAAGAAAAGAATAAAATAAGAAATAATAAAAAACTTTGAATTTTTACACATTCAGCTACCACACCGCCTTTTTTCACACCAAAAAAAAACCCGCGGACACCAAAAAGGTGTGTGTGAGTGTGCACTCCACGCTACTTGGTGTACACCATGGTGCACTCCACAAAATTTGGAGTTGGAGCCCATGTACTTAGTGGAGCGGAGTGTGATATCAATATCATAGTGTCCATATCATATCCATCCAGCCAACCACCATTGACACTCTACACACTACAAACCCACTCATCAAGACTCCAATCGATCATGTCGTAGCTCCAAACCAACCATCAACACTCACCCTCAGCAATGTCAACAAACAAGAACACCAGCTTGCCAATCAATGGCATGGTTGTTCCTCCCGAAATGCTGGCACAACTTCAATTGGTGCTCGCTTTATTCCAGGGAAGCAATACAGGAAATTCATCGACAATGGCTACAGGACTGTTGTTGGCCCCAGCCCCAGAGCTGGCCTTGACCTCCATAACTACCGGAATAATGCCATTGTTAAACTCGTTAAGCTCAGTGACCGGAGCGCCTTTGGCAAAGACTTTTGGGTTGGGGCCAGCGACAACTTCAGGGCCGTTGATAGATTCAGGGGCAATGTCAGCGGTAAACACAGGAGCTTCGTTGGCGATAACTTCAGGAGCGAGGTCAACAATGACTCCGGGCACGCCGTTGGTGAATTAATACCTGGGAAGTAACATCTTGGAGTGCACAACCATGCACTCCAAAAAACCAAGCTGTGCTCATTTTGGTGTACACACCAAGCATTTTTGGAGTGCCCGGATGTGCACTCCAAGAATTCTTGGTGTGCAGTCCTTTTTTGGTGCGCGCGGGGGTTTTTCTTGGAGTGCAAAAAGGCTGACCCTAAATCAAAATGATTCAACCTTTGAAACAAGTCAATCATCATTGCTCACTCCAAAGTTGTGATGGGTCAGTGTGACAGTAATGGTGCCACATCAGGAAAGCCAAGTACAGCTTGGGAGTGAGCAATGATGATTGAGTGGTTTCAAAGATTGGATAAGTTTTCTACATAAAAAGGTGAGAGCCAGTGAGAGATAGATAAAACTTGTGTCAATACAGGAAATTTGATCTATTCAACATCTTGCCTGAGTGTGCCATCCAAATACTTATTCCCCTTCCCACACAATGTGCTTCAAGCTGTTTGAGCAGGGTGGGCCCACTCATACTGTATCTCCAAGAGAAACAGAAATGTACTTGATACCTGAAACTGAAGCTGGTTAAAAGCAAGTCTCCAAAAGGCAAAAGCCCGAAAGTAGCCAACTCTTGCATTAAATGTATTGGAAAAAAAATTCATAAACCACAGTTTGATATTTGGGTACCCTACTGTACACTTTATTAAACACCCTATATGCTTCACTGACAGGACCGGTTGAACAGGGTTTGGGCCACCTGCTGAACTTGATTGAACACATAAATAAAGATCTATTCAGGGTTTACACATGGTTTCACAACACTTCTTACAACCCCTCCATCTTGCCATGCTATCCCTTCTGAAGCATCAAAAAATTTTCAGTCTAGTCTTACTTACTGTGTGTTGCTTACAAACAACTCAAAGTGTGGATTTACCGCAGGCACTCCATGCAGCAAATGATCAGCGTCCAATTGGAGGTCAGTATGAGATATCCTTGATTTTTATTGAACCAAAGGAGACTTTCATCTTCCTTCCTCTACCAAACATTGACAACCCATGCTTCATAAAAAGGTGAGAGCCATTTAGACATAGATCAACTGGAACTGGAGCATCTCCAAAATGCTTCACATCCAGGTCTTGCTCAACGTAAGTATGCAAAATTCTCCCTTATAGTGAATTGTAATTGTGTCAATTTTCAATTGCATGCTTTCTCTACAATTCACAAACAACAGATGAGATCCAGCCATACACAGATCAACAAAATCAGTTAGAGCAAGTTCAAAATGTAGTAAATCATTATCCTGCTCAACGTAAGTATAAATTTCTTTCTAGATCTGAACAAAGGCAGATTTTCATTTGAAAATTATCCATCCATCAATCCATACATATACATACATATTCAACAATAGATGAGATACATGTTGACATAGATCAAATTGAGTTGACACAAATGAGGAACACAGAAAATAAAGATCTGTCTCAAAGTAAGAATGTGATGTTTCTGATTCTGCTTGGAGTAAAGGAGAATGGAGCTGATTTTCAAGTTTGGCTTTCCTCTACCAATTTAACTAATGGTATCATAACTGGTGGAACCATGGAAATGTATAAATCTCATCTAGATGAACACCAAGAGGATGAAGAAAACAACCATGAAAAAGAAAAATTTGAGAAAATGATTTCTAGAATCCCACCACTGACCAAAGGAACTAGGTATGGATTGGCCAGACAGTGTAAGCCAATCAATTGAAAAAAACAACTTTGATTCAATAAGTGAATGTGTAATGATTTTTTTTTGAACTAAAAATAGATGTAAAGCAGCCAGAAAAGAAGAAGGCAGAGAAAAGTGAGATGTCTTGCTAAATTATTGAAATGATTATGCCTGAAAGTGAATCATTAACTGATTCAGATTACTTAATAGTGTTGATGGATCATATGCAAGAGGAATTCAAGAGTTTGGAAAAAGAGCTGGATAGACTTGTTGAAGGTGGAACCAAACATGCTTATACAATCAAACATGCTAGGAAAATCAAAAAGATTTACAAACAAATCAAAATTTACATTCAAAACTGGCTGTTACTTAAACAGAACCACAAAGGCTTAGAAATTCAACCAAGAACTTCAATTCTTGATGATATGAAACACACACCGGGTCAAAAGAATAAGTAAGATACTTCTTGATCATAATTATATACATCTTGGAATACAAAATAATTTCTTTTACTTTGGTTTTACAAATGTAGATCAACAATGGAAAGGCTTGGCAATTTGAAGTACGATGTAGAAGATATCATCACAAGAATTGGTATCAAATCCAGAAAATTTAGCAATGCTGGAGAAAATTCAACAAAAATGAAATCATTGGAGGAAAACTCAAAACAAACTAATTCACCAGTGGAGGGTTCAAAAAACATGTTTATACCTCAGGATATTCTTGAATCAATCATGAAGATCTTAGTCAGAGATTTGGCTCAACAATTACTGAATCAACAAGGTTTATCTCTGATCTCAGATCCTGAGTTTCTGAGTTTACAAAGGATTTCCTTTCAAACAATAGATCTTCTTTATAGATATGAACTCCTATCTGCAGAAGATCTCAAGAAATTATTTCAAATGAATGAAGTGATAAATCATGCTGCATACATCATGGTTTCCACTTTTTCCCATTTACATCAACGGATACGTTATTCAATCCCACTCAACATAAAGGCAATTCTCAATAGCTGGTATTCATCTCACTTTAGGAACATTTATGAAGGTAACATGACCTTTGATTCATAATCTTATTTTTTTTCTTGAGTTTTACTGATGTTTTTCCCCTTTTCCTGTTACTTGAAATTGAAATGTTTTTATCTTGTTTCTCAAATTGAATCATGAATCTTAGTTCTTGAACAAAATCAGAAGAATTATTTTTGGTATTCAGCTTTGAAATTTGCATTTAAATACCACTGCAATCAACCCACACATAAACCCAACTGGCAGAAAATGTTTTGGTGGAATTCATTCAAATATAAACTGTTTGAAACAGATCAATTTTTCCATGCATTGGAAGAAAATTATTTAGATGTTCATCCAGAAGAACTGAATGATATAAAACTTTCTATGAAACATGTAGCTGAAAAATTTATCAATTTTCAAGAATTAAGCAACAATCAGCAAAAAGAAACGGTTAAAGAGTTGGTGATTTTCTCTCAGTTCTTGTAATTTGTTGAAGAAAAGTATAGCCACAACACATCAAAGTTCTTTCAAACCAATGATGATTTGAAGATGAAACTCAAGTTGATGTCTTCCAGTAACCAGTTTATAGGAAAAATGGATGATATTCAAATGTACTGTCTTCTTGAAGTCTCCAGAAACAATCTCACTCAAGGCACAGAAAACTTTGCTGAATTTTCTGATCAGCTCAGTTTCATCAGAGAAAATATTGGAGATATCCACTCAGTTCATACAGAAGAAGTTTCAACAATCCTTGGTGGTCTTCCTTCACCAATGGATTGCTATTGCCAGCTTGATAAAATACTTTATGATGTTGAATTTATACAAAACCTTTCAATGTCTTATCTTGAAGATATATATCACAGGTCATTGAACAACCCTAATGAACTTAATGTTGAAGAAGAATGCAATGTTGGTATTTCAGTGATAGGGGGAGCAGCTTTGTATGTTTTTCTAATGATGTTAATGCTGTTATTTAGACGTTTTTTGTAGAGAAATTTTACAGTTTTTTACAACAGCATAAAGGTTTCATCAAATTTTCACTGATTGTGTAGAGAGAAACAAAATACTAGTATCACTTAAAAATTTCATCATATTCTTTCTGATCAATGACAAAGATTGTGTTGGTCATCAAATCTAAAATGTTTTCATCAAGCATCTTATCAATCCAAAACTTGAACCTTATTTAACCAAAATATAAAATAAAATTGAACTCATTGGATATAGTTGGTCTCCTCTCTCCATTTTCTTCCCATAGATATGTGTCTAGACTGTTCATATCCATGTGTTTCAGCTCTCTCTTTTCTCTTTTTCTCATTATGAGCATACCTAGTAGCATACTTTCCAGTCATTATTAGAATATGTTTATACTCATTTCATCACATATCCAGCTTGTTTTCTTCACTATTTATAGCTTGAAGTTGTTGATCCAGAAATACAAACCCATCAAATCTTTCCCTCTTTGACTCTTTCACCCATCCATTAACATAGACAACACAACTTTGATGTTGTTTACTTTCTTCCTGATATGTTCAGCATCTCATCATCAATTTTTCTCCCACAACCTGCTTGTCTGTTTGATTTTTTTTAACTTTTCTCATTTCTCTAAGCCTGATCTTGCAATTACTTGATCTCATTTTCTCAAGTCATGCTGCATCTTCATCTCAAGTTTCGTGGCCAATTGATTATTTTGCCTCTTCCAATAGCAATACTCCTTTGACAAAAAAGGATTATGCATGGCTGAAAGTGACGATCTCTGCATGAACGATGCTCATTCCTACCTAATTGAAGCAACAGGTAATATGGTATCATCTTGCTTCTGAAAATGGGTGGTCTCCATGAGGATGGGGCCTTGCAAACTTTGTGCAACCTGGACCCCTCAAGGTTGACCGGCGGCCCGGCCAGGTCGTGAACTGCCTCACCATTCAGCAATTTTTACTCCCTTCTTTTCTTTGGACCCTCGAACTTCTTCTTTTGTTGGAAACCAAAGTTTGCTTCGACTTCTGCCAGGCTGCGTGAGTTGGGGAGGTTTTCTTTTAGAGTCATTGATCAGTTGACCCCATCACCAGCCTTCAGAAATCAAGAAGCATTGATCTATCGCTTGGCAAACGCGGGAGGGGTTGAACACATGAGCCAAACAGACATGGAGCCTATGTAGTCTTGCTCATGAGATGACAGCTGGAAAGTTGGATGTTTCGAAACATTCCGAAACGCTCCCCACAACATGGTGGCCCATCATCGGACCCTCCCCGCCTCACAAGACCTCCTCCGCACTCCTGTCTCACTGTCCATCACCTGAGGCGTCTGCCCTGGTTGTTTTTATGTGAGCATGTGGCCCTCTCTTGCCCCCGCGGTGATCATGATGAGCTGTATGTATGCTGTAGAGCACTGTGGAGTGTGGGGTAGCTGTTCGCTATAATTTGTATGTGTCTGCGCAGAAATCTGAGCTCCAGAGTTCGCATCGTCACCCGAAATTAAATTACATAGATGTGGAGTTGTTCTACGCAGGCCGACCAACTGGCCGAGACGGTATGTCATGGATCCGCTTTATGTCGTATGTTGTAGGATTTGGGCTGAGTTGAGTGTATGCTAATACAGGATCGATGGAAGATCTGTATCGGGGTGGGTGAGTGGAATATAAAAAACCTTGATGTGGATCAGTCGCAAAGGGATCACTGACCATATTTGTACTTCGACTCTCTTAATCCAACACTCCCCGCCCGGATACTCATAATCACCGAACACCTTGACCGCCTGTCTCTCCACGAACGATTTCCTGTCTCGATCTCTTAGTGCACCACGACCACCTAATCAAATAATCAAACCATGTTGAAGATCTACCAGGCCACCTTCATCGCACATCTGGCGCTCACTGGGGTCTGGGCTCACGATAATGGCTTGGCGATCACCCCTCCAATGGGCTGGAGTAAGTCTTCTGTCCTGATCAACAATGGGGTACCCCTGGCCCAATATATAACCTAACTCACCCTGTTTCCTTCGTTTAGACACTTGGAACAAGTATGGCTGTAATATTAACGAAGACTTAATTCTTTCGTAAGTGCTCCCACCTCATCTAGTATACTTCCATCCTATACTCATCTTGCTGCTTCTGTCCTGTGTCTATCATCAAACAGAGCGGCAAAGGCGATTAAATCCGAGGGACTCGATAAATTAGGCTACACTTGTAAGATTTTTGAACCGACTACATCTATCATCAGCTCACAAAAAAAAAACGATGAGAACCACGGAAATTGAGGAATCGACATTCTCTTTTTTTTGCATGCTTCTAATCGGCGCACAACCATACCTACGTGATCAAGACGTCAATGTAAGTTAAAATAACTAAATATGAATTCGACGAGGTGATCCATGGATTCTGATTTAAACCAAACAAATTTCATGCAGATTGACGATTGTTGGCAAGCACCACATCGTGGGCCTAACAACGAGCCTATTGCGGATCCCGAAAAGTATGTTACAAGTCACCAGTCGATCCTCGGGCTCCCAAAAATATGTACTCATCCAACCGTGGCCATCATTATCAGATTTCCCAGTGGCATCAAACATCTCAGCAACCAAATCCATGCCCTAGGATTGAAACTTGGGTTCGTTCACGACACGCGTGTTTTTGTATGACAATTGCTGACTGACTCTATTCGGACACCACACAGGATATATTCGGATGCTGGAACGTAAGCAATCCAAGAGGCATGATCTAATATCCATCTTCAATCTGATCTCTTATACCCACTATCATCTCGGAAATATAATCAGCTATACCTGTGGCAAACGTTTTGGATCGCTTGGTTACGAAATTAACGATGCCCAGGCTTATGTAAGCACTTGATCAAAACATGGAACGATTGGACTGTCTTCACTGATTTTGCTCATTTTTTGTTCTGTTTCTTTATTTGCTAGGCTGATTGGGGAGTAGAGTAAGTCTTAAGACCGTTACAATCGAGGAAAAGCAATAGTATCCCAAAAATTTACCCCTGTACTGAATCCAATCCATTAGTTATTTGAAGTATGATAATTGTTATAACGAAGGGCTTTCTGGTACCCCTAGTATATCCGCAACTCGCTACAGGACGATGAGGAATGCACTCAACGACACTGGCCGACCGATCGTCTATTCGCTCTGCCAATGGGGTGAAGATCAAGTCTGGAATTGGGGTGCCACCATAGCGTATGTCACGTCATTCTGCCGGATTTTGAAATGATCCCCCCGGACTCACCATCTAACCCTTGGACACGCGTTTTTGGAACTTTTCTTTTATCTAGGAATTCGTGGAGAATCTCGGGTGACATCTATGACAACTTTGACCGACCGGATGATCGATGTCCTTGTCCAGATTCATCTGTCCCATGTCCTTTGGCCGGCTTTCATTGTTCGGGTATGTCCCGCCCCCCTTTTTTTTGTCCCCCATCTCAACTGCCCCAATTACACATCTCCGCAACTGAAGAGAACACTTATTTGGGTCTCCATATTGCAGTCATGAACATCTTGGAGAAGGCCGCTGGTCTTGGTCAGAAAGCAGGACCAGGTGGATGGAATGATTTGGTTAGTGATCTTAACCTTGTAACCTATTAACAGATACTACTGTTACATCGATGATCTTACACTCATCGTATTGATAGGATATGCTCGAGGTCGGGAATGGTGGAATGTCATACGACGAATGTAAGTTGAATGTTCTGGCCCGCTCGTGATAGATATGGGACTAACTTGCTTTTATCATGCAGATGTCACCCATTTCTCAATGTGGGCTCTCGTCAAATCGCCGTTGATCTTGGGCAACGATGTTACAAAAATGTTGGTAGAGCAACATCCTTCCACCAATACTCAGTCCTTTTTCAAAGCAGGCTCACCTGTTTTATCTGTACTATTCAGGTCTCCCGAAACCAAGTCGATCATCAGCAACAAAGAAGTCATTGTAAGTCTTAACACTTGGATTAAACTGTCTTGCTATAAAGATCCTGATATGATCTCTTGCTTAGGCCATTAACCAGGACGCAGAGCATAGCGCCGGTTATCGAGTATGGAAGAAACCTACTCCCAATGGCCGTCAGGGCAATCTTCAACTTTGGAAATCGTATCTTTCTCATGGGTCCGTTTCTTGAATCTTGTTGATCTCTTGGATTGTTTTGCTGGTTTGGTAATCCTTGCCCTCCCTTAATTGAAACTCGCTTTTATTTCACAGGGAGTTCGTCTTGGCCTTTATCAACGCCTCACCCCAACAAATCGGCAGCTACGTCATCTCCTTATCCGAGTTTTTCATTGACGAGGTACGTCTAACTATTAGCATGTAGGATGGGTGGGGTGATCAAATTTTGATTCAACTCTGCTTTTTTTGTTTCTGTTCTGCTGATTACCACAGGGTCAATGGCCTATGAGTCGTACCTGGACAGTCAAAGATCTATGGAATTCGACCGGCGCTACGTCGATCAGACAGGTTCACAATGCTCATAATAACCAAATCCCAATCACCATGTCTTCAGATTACAAAGATCTTCAATTGATCGTCAATAATATCCCTTCTAATGGAATCAAACTCTTGAAACTCACAGAGCAAGTTCGTATTCTTCGGTCCTCCACTTTCTCTTCACTCGCTTGTATCCTGCTCGGATGCTAACTTTTTTGTTTGTTTGTCTGCATTGGTTTTCTTTCTTTCAAACTGGCAAAGAAACCGAAAAGTAAATGATGAATCATCGGCAAGAAGTTGGCACGGGATTTTTGACGCCAAAGTATTCGAAATTCTCGCGGATGTAGTGATATATTCTATCGTTCTATGTTACCTGATTTGCATCCTCAACGTCGATCTTTTCTTTGATCTGTTCTTCTTCCTTAAGAATCACCGTTCCTCCTTCTTCAGATTCACTGCTCCGTCTACCCAACCTATCTCTATTTGAGATATCCACAAAAAAATCCAACCAAAAAAAAGAACAACATCAACAACAATCACATTGCCACTGTCATTTGTACTTCAGCAAGAGCTTTTTTCCTTCCTGTATCTGTCTTTGTTTGTAACATCCCATCAGAGTGTTGTAATCATATGCAAAAATATATTTATGTGTATGATCGACGTGCATAACTTGAATCGAAGTGGCTGCTTGTCAGTCTACCAATGTGTGTCTGTTGAGACAACTATTTGAGAATGAGGTCCTTTTGCTTATGGTCATCTCGAGCAAGAGCCCAGCCCACAATGGTACTGCTTTGTTGGAGGACGACGAGATCAAGCCCCCAAGTCAATGCTTGTTTCTCGGAGAATGTATGATGGGTCAACTCTCCTACATAATGTTTCCCTCTTTTTTTCTCATCTTCAAGCCGATCGAATTCCGGCAAGATGATCATTGTTACTGTTAGGTTGCGGCGGGACGAGTGTAGCAAGTCGAGAAGACCGATGACAGGCGAGATCGAACCCGTGTCCCGATCTCCTGGCTATATTTACTCAAAGTTGGCATTGACGGATACATGCTCTGTTTGGTCTCATATTCGAACGTCCCCCTCGCCTTTTACTAGGGAGACCCGGGGACCAGGCAGGTCAAAGCATGCCCACAATCTTTCGTGACCACCCTCAGGTGGGAAATAGTAGCTTTTTGTTCATGCCGATCCTCCATGTCTTCTAATACGTTGGGGACTACCCAAGTGCCCAAATTCCAAACTCGCGCGACTGCGGCGCGCTTTTAGCTCCCCTGGCAGAGACCCTCTCACACCGGTAGGGTCTATACATAGCACCTAGGATTGTGAAAGGGCCTTCCCCTATTTCCCCCGATCCCCCCTAGACCTTGATTGATGTGAACACAACGAAAAATCATCAACAAAGTTCTCTACCACATTCAAAGTTCAACTTCCCCCACGCCATGGAAATTGATCCGACTTTACTACACATCCTCGTTCGGCGCCGGCGACTCATGTCTAGGAAAAAATTGGAACTCAATGCTATTTTAGAGGTTACAGCTTTATTACTTGAGGAAGACGACAACTCCGACAACATTAATGAACCTGTGCATGGCGGATCCAAACCTGGGAAAAGGCCAAATCGCCCCAGGGACTTTGAGGGTAGCTATCAAAGGCTCTACAGCCAGTACTTTTCAGCAAATCCTCTGTACGATGACGAAATATTCCGGCGCCGGTTCAGAATGGCGCGACCTTTATTCATGAAGATCGTTGAGGCGGTTGAACAACATGACCAGTACTTTCAACAGAGACCGGATGCATGTGGCAAAATGGGCCTCAGGCCCATCATGAAAATCACCGCCGCTTTGCGTATGCTTGCCTATGGGGGTGCGGCGGATTGCAACGACGAATATCTCCAACTATCGGAGACTACCTCATTACAAAGCATGGACAACTTTTGTAATGCAATTGTGGATATCTACTCTTCAGAATATCTCCGACACCCAACGGTCGCCGATTTGGAAAGACTCCTGACGGTTGGAGCCAAGCGGGGATTCCCTGGGATGCTTGGCTCACTTGACTGTATGCACTGGACTTGGAAGAACTGCCCAGCCGGTTGGGCTGGGCAATTTCAGGGGAAAGAAAAAGTCAGTTTATTTGTTGTCTGTTTATGTGATGGATGTGTCTCATCCTTGCTTTGGAATGAACAGGTTCCGACGGTCATCTTGGAGGCCGTAGCGTCACACGATTTGTGGATATGGCATGCCAACTTCGGCATGCCCGGATCACATAACGACATAAACGTCTTGGATTCATCGCCGCTCTTCAAGAATCTACTTAATGGCCAGGCCCCAACTTGCTCATATGAAATCAATGGTAACTCCTATCACCAAGGTTATTACCTTGCAGACGGTATCTACCCCGACTGGGCTACGTTTGTGAAGACTCTCTCGCAGCCGGAAGGTCTGGATCAGAAGCACTTTGTTAAAATGCAAGAGGCCCGAAGAAAAGATGTCAAAAGAGCTTTCGGTGTTCTCCAAGCTCGCTTTGCAATCGTCTCTCGTCCGGCTCGCGGTTGGAAACACCACAATCTATCCGCGATAATCAAATGTTGTATCATCCTCCACAATATGATAGTGGAGGATGAAAGGGACACTTACCTTCAATACAATTACGACAATAACACCTTGGCAGTAATCACACCAGTGGAAGTGACACGGGAGGGGAGGCTCACCTTCGACGAGTTCATAGAAAATTACGATTCTATGAAAAATGCAGAAACTCATCATCGGCTGCGAAATGATCTAATCAAGCATCAGTGGGACGTCAAGGGTCGCGAGGGACGTAGGGATTAACTTGCTATTCTCAAGCTTGTTTTGATTACATTTCGTGTTTGGTGTTTCAAATTTTTCACTTAATCAAGCAATCAATCTTTGTGTTGAATGAGCAATCGATCTTTTTGTTGTATTGAGAAGCTATAGATAGAAACACAACTTGATAGAGTCATAAGAACTAGTAATAATAAAGAAACGTAGTGAAATGATTGATCGGTGGATCAGTGAGGACATCAGCGAGTTGAGAGATTGGTCAATCAGAGAACTACTAAAAATAGATAAATGTAGGGACAAAATGATTGGTCGGTGGATCAGAGACAACAGCGGCAATCTGGTTGATCGGTCGTTTAGATAACTGATGAAAAAAGAGAAACATAGTGCTGATTGATTGGTGGAACAGAGTCGACAGCAGCAAGGTGATTGATTCGTCATTCAGATAACTAGTAAGTCAATTGATTAGCTAGCTTTGAGCTCGACTGGAGGACGTCGATCGGAGTGCAGAGAGGATTTCTGATCTTTTCAGCTGAAAATACTCCTTCTGCTGGTCATCAAGACCCTCGAGGTCCTTGTTCATGATGGCAAGCTGGGCAGCTGTTTTCCCATTGTCGGCGATGACCTTGAGGGATTGAGAGTCATTATCAAGGATATTGTTATTGCGCTTTGATTCGGTGGCGATATTGATATGTGCTCGAGCAACGTCCTCCTTCCAGGCGGTGTCCTTCATGGCCAATTGGTGAGCAACCTTGGCCTTCTTCTTCCCCATAGGCCTCTCAAGGGTTGCAACTTCATCTGGGGTGCCTTCAAAGTCGGAGACAGAATCCGCAGGTACAGGAGTCGACTCGTCCGGGGCAGTCAATGCTGGAGCCGAAGGGGCCTCTTCACTAGGGGTTCTGGGTCGTTTTTTCTTAGCCGAGGCCCTTTTTTTGTTGTCGTGAGTGTATGAGTTCCATTTGGGACATTTCACCAGCATATTGTAGCAACGGAGATGCTTGAAGTGGGTTTGAAGGTCATGCGAGTATAGTCGAAGAGCCCGGTTTAACTGATCCTCGGCAGACTGACCACTCTGATTCATCTGTTCGGCTTGATCGACGCAAGCACGGAACTTGTTGATCCAGCGCTGCAAGATGCCCCATCTCTTTTTGGTGCTGTCGATCGGTCGAATCGGAGTTGGTATGGCCTCATGGTACGCAGTCGTCACCCTTTGCCAAAACGTATTTCCGTCCTGATGTGTTCCAACCGCAGGGTCTTCCGATATACGAATCCAAGCACGACATAACTCAAAATCCTCTGGCTCGGTGTAATTTGGCGCTTTCTTTTTCTTGGTAGCCGTCGGGTCAAGATCAGGATCAACTGTAGGTAGAATGATGAAGGGATTAACAAAAGTAAGTACGATCAATAACAAAGAAAAGAGGACCAAGAAGAGAGAAAATGCTGACTGCTGTCGTTCTCGTCTTCGATTCTTTCATTGTCCATATTGTGGTTTGAGCTCATTGTGTGTGTGTGATCTTTTGAGAGGAGAGTGTTGAAAGGGAAGAGCCAAGTCAACGGGGGATTGTGTTGTGTAGGGGGGAATGGATATCACGTAGGTTGTTTGTGATATGGCTGATAGGCACTTGATGTCGAGTGCCTATATGGTCCTAAATTTAGGTTGCCTATAGCTCCCCAGGCCGGTTTGGCTAAATTGGGACCGCATTTAGCGCCTCCGGTGGAAGGCCTAAATTGCGTTTGGGGGACTAAATCAGGTTTAGTCCCGCGATTTAGTCCCCCCGGTGGAGATGCTCTAAGGTTTGAATTGTGTGGAGGCCTGCAGGATTGGATCTTGGAATAACATCATTAACATTGAACTTTTTGAAGACTTTATATTAGTTGGAACTCAGAGAAGCTCATCTATTTTCGATTTTGATCAAATGACTTGGAGGGGAAGGATGGGCCACATGTAGCTGTGAAATGTTGTACTTGATTGTATTTCAAAACACAAGCTGTGGGCCCACATATTTACATATTTATCTATGGAAAGAAGAATTGAATTTCCTTCACAGTCCAAAGTGTCTGAAGTCCTAGGGAGTACGCAGCCAATCACAGAGGAGGAAAGCTGCTAGTTGGACATCTGAGATGGGCTTGATTGGTGGTGGTCTTCATATTTGGTTCTTGAAACTTTCATGCAGACTCTTGCTTGCAAAATTGACTGATATTTTATCTGATTCTGAACTCAGCAGATGAGTGCCCTGAAGATGATGACAAGTCCAACAAGCTCGACTCGCCTTTAAATCTCGGACATCTGGTCACGACAAAGTAACTGAGTACATCACTCGCTTGAGTCTGGCGATGAAACCCAGCACATGATCCATCGGTTTTCTCCACCGTCCTCAACAGCAAACATGCAGACAGATGAACAGCCAATCCAGCGTGTGCCTGCGATCCTTTGATTGACCGATAGGTTGGAACTCAGTTCGCAGCCATGAGCTCTCACTACGCATGTTTTTTTAGCGTTCAAACGTCAGCAGCCCCTTCGCGATTCCCGCCTTTGTTTCTGGTTGTATGTAGTCGGTCAGCACAAGGCTCTTGAGCGTGCTTTGCGTCTCAAAGGAGTTGCGCTCGAAGTTACTATTGAATCAAGGGAGGGGTTGAAGTGCACTTGAATGATGGATTTTTTTTTAAAAATGACATGCGTCTTATAAAGCCTGAACAACAGTCAACCGCAAGTGGATGAATAAGATCCAAACCAAATCTCTGTAAGACCCATTTACAAAGGACTTTCGAAATCACGCAACTCGTTGTGTAACCTCAAGCTGGACCCTATAAATTAAGTGATTTCAGCTGAGAAACAGTGAGAAAGGATCCACAGAGACCGCCTCTGGGTATGCAAAGCCCCAGAATCTAAGCAGCGAAGAGTGCAACTGCATACATCTCGCAAGTCGTCCAGTCTCACGACTTGGGTTCTGTTTTCTACTCCTTTGCAGCCATGATGATGTGGTTGCAGTGGCCAATGCGACAAATATATTTAAAGGCGTCTGGATGCCTTGGAGACCCTTACAAAGAAGCCCTCCCATCTCAACCTCCTGGATCTTCCGAATTACTGGTCAATGGGCCGCTACACAGAGGTTGGCTAGGGATGATCTCCAGAGTCAAAGTTAAGGAAAGAGAGTTTCGCAGTCATCAAGTGGAACAACAACTACAGCGACTATTTTGTGCCATGGCGAATAAATTTATTAATATGTGCTTCATGTATTCATGCCATCGGCGTCCTTCTCACTTGCCCCTTGTGCCCTTTCGAGATGGAAACGAAGACAATATGCTAGCCGAGCTGGCCGGCACACATAACCCTTGCCTCTTCAGCCAGCTTCTATTTTTTTCTCTCGGCCTTCGTCTTTGTTATTTATTTAAAAAGCCGTCGTTGCGAGTACAAAGCCTGGTCGAGAAACCTCATACTACATGCATACATCCGTCACCCATTCGAGCTATCCTACATAACACCTCCTACCCTACTCCTACTCCTGCCCTATACATATATATACACAAGCTATAAATGCCCATCTTAACCTCCAGGAGAGCTTCAACCGCCTTCCGATTGTTTTAATCAACTCTTTAACCCTCGTAGTACCACTCCATCCACCATACCTTCGTTGACCTATATTCTTGATTTTACACAACTAAAAATAGATAGCTGATAAACTACCCCTTTTACAATTTCATCTCTCTTTCTTTTGTTTCGTATCTAAGGTAAATCCAGCCGCGTGTTTATCGGCAGCTGTCTTTCTTGGTATCCATACAACAACCACCCCCGTTGTTTGTCCATCCTTACTAAAAAAAAAGAAGCTCTTGCCCTTCGCCAGCCAGCCCGACCCCCTCGATCCATCCATCGGCTGAGCTCTTCTCAAATACATACATAATACCTACTTACGCAGGAAATCGCTCGGTCTCAAGCTCACGGAAGCGACCCTCGAAGGATTCTTGGATCCTCATTGACACCCTGCTGTCTGCATCACATTCCCATGCTCGCCGCCCGTTGAAGCTGTCTAAGCAAGCCGTCTGACATCTCAACTCTTCTCAGAACCTAAACTGCGCATCCTTTGTGAATATTGTTGAAGTCTTTCTTAACACTCAGTCTCCGGTTCCCTCAGCCTTCTTAATCCCCGTGTATACATAACTAATCGCCCGCCAGAACTCCGAGTCAAGTAGCACGCCCCGGAGCCAATACTTTCGTCCTTCAGCCTTCCGTCCTTACCCCTTCGCCTAGTACTATCACAAACCTTTTTTTTTGTCGTTTCTTTCCTTCTTTTTGCTATTTGCTATTTGCGTTTATTTTTTTTTCGACTCTGAATAGATTGCACTTCCCAAGTCATTATACTCACATCAATTGCAAGCAAAACTGAAAGAAACCCTTACCCCCGAGTCGATCAACCTGGCCATCACGAATCTGCCAAACTCCCAACCTGCCTCCTCCTCATCTTCCTTCCGCCAAAGATGGATCCCGTTACGGATCTAGATATGGATTATTACGAGAATCTCTATCGACAAGCGGGTAGCAACAAGTGTGATCGATTTTCTTATGACCATGCCTCCCATCTAGTCTTGGATGGAGAGAAATGGATCATGCGACCCCCTTCAAACCGCATAGTCTCTCCTCATTCACCAACACATACCAGTCCAGTCTTGCCCACCAGGATCAGGGTCTCCAAGAGACCTGAAAGGAGCTCCGAAACAAAGTGCAAATACTACGTCGATCCCGACGATTTCTATCGTCCGTTTGATAATAACCAGTTTGTCAAGCGGAGTTCAGATTTTTCACTCGAGGATGATAAACCAGCCTTCAACGTCTCTGCCTTCGACGACTCCCCAGTCTCATCCAACCCTGTCAAGCCGGGTGGGATGAAACCCTTGGATTCAACTGACGATCTCGCCGCCTCGGTCATCACTCTGAGAAGTGTCCTTGTTGGAATCATCTTATCTCTGATTTCGGTGAGCTTTTGATAGTTCTTTCTTTCGACCTTGAGGCGCTTTAAAGGAGGGAACCAACCTGGCACTTTATTTAAAGGCTGCCATCGGGCAATTTTTCCAGTTAAAGCCAGAAGGATTTAAGGTCAGTCGGCCACTGTAAACCTGATTTCCCCCCCCCCCCCCCCCCGGAATTCCAAGCCGCTTTCCCAGGAATCCCTCGGTGTTATTAACTCAAGCTCTTGCTGCCCATCCAAAAAAAAAAAACAGATTTCCTTGCTCACCCTACAGATTCTGTCGTTCCTCTTGGGTACCCTTCTGTCAAAAGTCCTTCCTACTCGTTACCACTGGATAAATCCGGGCCCTTATTCGATCAAAGAGGATGTCTTCGCCACCACGATGGCTGCATCAGCAGCCTACGCTGCCTTTGGAACCGAAATCTTTGCACCCCAGATTCTGTTTCTCCATGCTGGCCCCGGATTCTTCCTTTCAGTTGTAGCCCAATTCGCCAATCAACTCTTGGCTATCTGTTAGTTTTCCCTTCCCTTACTTTCGTCCTTGACCTTGCTAACACACCCACCTCCCTCTAGGTCTTGCGTGGCATTTTCGATCATTTTTAGTATACCCTGTTGCATGGTTAGTCTTACATTTATACCACTGTTATCTCGATCAAAAACATGAAAGCCAAAGCTCAAGATAATCGATCCGTATGCGTCTGATTGGATCATTTCAAAACTACCAGCCTGTATCCGTAAGTCAATGTCCCTCTATCTTGAGGAGAGGACAGACCGAGGAAGCTTCTAATTTTTACTCCTCCATTTTGTGTATATAGGGCTGTCATTCCTCCCGTGATTTTATTCCAGTCATTCCACGGCGGGGACAGTCTGGCCACCCGTCGAATCAATCTGTTCAAGCTCGTCGCCCCGTTGATTGGTCTGTGGGAACTCTTGCCTCAGTTCCTGGCCCCCGCCTTTAGTGCCATCAATGTTTTTTGCTTGGCTCTGCCCGCCTCAAAGCAGGTCACTGCACTCTTCGGCGGCGCTTCCCCCAACACGTCAGTCTCAGCCGGTTCTTACCATGCACTGCCCCTGATTTGCTGATTTTGATGTTCTACTCGAACAACCATCAAACCAGCGGATTTGGACTCTTCTCATGTAGGTTTTTTTTCTATATAATCAAAATCCACATAACATTAACAGTCCTTCCGAACACCTTTGAATTGATCGGTTGGACGTGTCTCTCATCCCACTTTTAGTGAGCCTTGATTGGACCAATATATCCGCCGGAGTGAATGGCGCAGTTGAGTATCTTGCAAAAGCTCAACTCTGATTTTCGTTTCTTTAGCGATTAACCTGCTCTCTACAATAAAAATCGAAACAATTGTCTGTAGTCACCAATGTACGTGCCGTGGATCGCTCAAGTGAATTCATGGATTGGGCTCAGTTTTGGTGGGTGAGACCTTCCCGCAACTTGTAATATTGGGCATCCATCGGCTAACTCTTTGTATAATAGCCATTTTGATGTATCTCATCATATACAAAATCGGACCTTATGGCTCAGGTGCCAAAGACAACTTCCCCCTGCTGTCGTAAGTCTTGTGACTTGATAATCATTACTGAGGATGAGTTCATCTGATACTTTTTTCTCCATCAGTACAAGCCTGCTCACAGAGTCCGGGAAAGAATATAATCATTCTGCCGTGTTCATGTCCAATGGCTCCTTAAGCCAGCAAGGCCTTGCTCAGGAAGGACTCCCAGCCTTCACCCTGTCATTTGTGACCTCGCAAGGTATTTTCTACAGCCACGAGTCTGGTTTCTGTCGAAAACATTGCTAAAGAAAATTATCTGTTGTCGGGACATCCCATTCTTGCTCCTCCAGCGTTTGCTGCATTGTTGATGACCAGCGCAGTGTAAGATTCCTCGTGTTCTCCAAATCACATGCAAAGTTTAATCGAATTATTTCTGAAAATCTTTAGTACTCAGGCTCTCATTCAGAATTGGACTTTGATCACCGGAATCATCTTTCCCAATCGTGGAGAGGGAGTCGCGAAAACAAAGGATCCCCATCTCGAAGAGATGGCAAAAGTAAGCTGTCCCATTTCATCATCTTACATGAGTCGCTCAACTGACCCTATGGTCTGCTAGTACTCTGATGTCCCCCAATGGTTTTTAGGATGTATCTCTGTTGCATCCGTGGCGCTTGGATATCTGTGCGCAACACTTGGTGAGTACCCTCATCGATTGACCAAGTGCTTACCAACTTTCCCAATCCTAATAATCGATTGTTTTGAAATAGCTGGCAGTCAGATGGGTGTTTTTGCAATGCTGGCATCAGTTCTTGTAAGAGGCTCACTCTAAATCAAATCACACAGCTCCTATTAAGTCTCATCACTCATTCATCATCTTCGTGTTTTACAGTTGGCGGCCATCATTGTTGGTTCCATCGGTTTTTTGAATGCGACCACAGGCTTTAATCCAGTTGAGTCTCCCCTCCTTCCACCCTAGTGGATTCAATCTATGTTATCAGTTGATTGACTTTTGCAATGTGTTCAGGTGGTTGCCCCGGCTTGTCAAATGATCGGTTCTGTATTTGGTGGATCTGTCATCCGCTCCCTCTGGTAAATTAGCACATTCTCTTGATGAGATTTTTGAAGTTCATTCAATCACTTCTCTGACGGCAACTTTCCACAGGTTCAGTATCTTCAGCGCCACTTGTGCAACGATCTCCTTACTGATCGCAAAAGAGTTGAGCGATTTTTCTTGTCTCGGCCAGAGCTTCGGACCCTTCGAAAACTAACAATGATTCACATTCTTGTTGATAAAATCAATCAGTATCAAAATGATGATCGTAAGTACAGATCCAGTTCGCCCTCAAAACTCTTTCCCCGTAAACTACGTCTCTGATCGATCATACTGCTCCTTTGTTTCTCAGTATACAAAAGTTCCACTTCGGAAAGGATTCTTTGCCCAAATTTGCGGAACGTAAGTCCCTCAACTGTTGATCTACTTCACGTGCATAGATTGCGGTCTGATCGGATTTCGTTCTTTTCCACTCCGAAACAGTCTTATTGGCGTTTTCGTAAATCAGTTCGTCATGGAAATCATCGTCTCGGCAAACGCAGAGGCTTTGGTCGAGCCTACAGCCAGTGGACAGGTTGAGTTTCCATCGAGATATTGCTTTATTTCTGATCATGTCTCTTCCTGAAGTCGTTTGCTTGTTCACTTCACCTGCTGATCTATGACCGTCAACTCATTCCAACCCCTAGTTTTCTGGCGTTTCCTCGCAAGCGTGAGTAATTTGAGTTTGAAGTTTGTTTGAGCGTTAGCCATAATCCTGACAGAATTTTTGTTGTTAACGCAGTTTATTCAATGAAGTTAGCACCTGGAGTCTATTTTCCGGCCAATTGTACGGGCCAGGGGTTAGTTTGATTCCACCTTCATGAAGCTTAAATGTTATCGGTATTTTTGATATTCGCGGGGCTGACTAAAACGATTCGAGCAAAGAAACGATATTTCTTCATTCCTGCCAGTCTGGTAAGATTCCAACCATCCAAGTGATTCATTCCAAGAAGTCCAAGCTCATCCGTGCCTTTTTCCCGATCTTTACAGCTCATTGGGTTCGTCGCACCCCTTCCATTTCTAATCATCGAGAAAGCTTGGCCGAATTCCGTCCTTGGGAAGTTCAACGTGCCGGTGAGTGATTTTATCATTCGAACACTTTAATGGACAGGTATTGAACCTTTTTTGGGGAATAGCTGGTAGCCGGGACCATACAAGTTGCGATCAACGGCACCACCTCCGGCAGAGTCACTGCCATAATCGTTGGATTCATCAGCCAGTACTACGTTCGGATCTATCGCCCCCAGATCTTCACAGATTACAATGTCCGTCTTGATTGCTAAGCTTCTCACGTGCCCACAAACGCAGCATGACTTTCTGACCTTCTACCTCATAAACAGCACGTCCTCAGTGCCGCTCTGGATGGTGGAGTGCGTATTTCTCTTATCCCGGCAAATCACTGTGAAAATCGATCGTAATACCCACGCTAACGAAACTGTCTTGATTTTCTAGACTCAAATCGCTGTCCTCTTGTTGTCCTTCGCCATTGGAAAAATCAAATGTGAGCCAGGATTTCCAATTATTCATGAAGCCCTAAGATACTTATCGATTATCAAATCACGATTTATTTTTCGAAGTGCCTCATTACATTTTCAATCCGGCAGCCCCTTTCCTGAGGTCAGTCTCTCTAACCAACTAAGTTTTTTTTTTGTTGACCTCCCAATCCCGCTACCGGCTTGTCTGACGATCATCCGATTGGACTAACTTCATCACTTCTAGAGATTATTGTACTCGGTTTTGATCAAGAAACAAACAGACCCATTCTCAGGAAGAACCCCCCCCCCCCCCAAAAAAAAAAAAAAAAAACTAAAACTAAATTTGAAGGGAAAGAAGAACTCAAGTGATCAAGGACAGGAAAGAAAAACCAAAAAAAGAAGGTTATCACCGGTCAATTCATCAACCCCGCCAGGCTGCGTACTCATTAGTCTGACCCGGAGGTTTCCCACATAAGAAAACTTCCTTCTTCCCCCACCCCCCCTTTTCCCCATCATTTCTCGAAGTCTTCTTCATGATTGAAGAGCTTGTGTTAATTGACCATCTCTGGATGGCTTTCACGGGTGCATGATTGGATCAGCGCCTTTTTTTAGTAGCTGGCTGCAAGGCTAGCCATGCTCGTTCATAATCTCTTCCCCCCTGCCCCCCCCCCCCCAAAAAAAATGTATGTTACACTCTGCCAGGAGCATGTCTTTTAAACACGCCACTTACATTGCCAGCTGTAGATACACTATAATGATCACAACCAAGAAAAAAAAAACTTATTTATTTGTCTTCTTGATCCTTGTATCTCAATACTAGCCTCCCTGACCTTATATTTATTGGGTTTATTATTATTTTGGTCGGTTGGACTGGTGCAATACATACATAGAAGTCGCACCCAATCCTACAGCTTGATCTACATTCTTGTCTTCTGGATTCTTGGGTTTGAGTTTCTCACATGGTTTCTGGGCTGGTGTGTCTGTTGTTGTGTAGACATATTCAGATGGAAACTCTTCTGGTTTGGCCAGCGGCCCAGCCCCATTGAGACTTGTAAATACACAGAACTGTGTGTGTGTTGAGTGTGTGTGCATCAACAATTGGGGTGCAGACTTGATTGGATTTGAATGGATCATAATATATCATAACACATTACATGGGTTGGTTGAACTACCCTCAGAAATTCCAGCCATCCATTCCTAACAAACTGTAGACAGACATCCGTTTGGGATTTGTTCTTCCAAAAATAGGGGGCCAGACTTGGGAGTTGGCCATCCTTTTTTTAAAAAAAAAGTTTTCCGACTTGGGCAGCCCAAGCCCCCTCTCATGCATAGAGAGGGGGGGGGGGGGGGTGAGAGTTGCTCCCACTGGACCTGAACTTGGAAGGAACACAAATTCCTCACTGACCAGAAGGAGTTCCTGAGATCCTTGTACCTCACTGATTGGAAGAAATTCCCTCTGGTCAGACCATCTCCACAAGAGATGTCAGCAGGAACCCAGTTCCCGTTTGCAGGTACCTGTTTTCCAAAGTGGGTACCCGGAAACAGGTGCGGGTGTCAACATTTGGGGTAAAAAAAGATTCTTCACCTGGGGATGTATATTACTGGGGGTGCTAAACATGTGGCAAATTTAGCTTTCAGCTTCCAGGTAGTATAGCACTGCCAGCATCCAGATGTGCAATCCCTGTAGCAGTCCAAATACCTCCCCAATCCATTGGTTTCACTGGATGATCTTTGTGAAGACTTTATTGTCTTGCTACAATTGCCCAATGACTGGCGAGTTTGGAAATTTAGCAACTTGCACAATTTTGCCCAGTGGAGTTGGTCTCAGTAATTAGGTGAACTTCATTAGTGAGGTAGCTGTTCCTCATTAAGCAGAAGGTGATCAGAGCAACTCCTCAACCACCCCTAACCCTCCATGTTTGAGGGGTGCTTTGGGAAGCCCACTCCCAAAATTCAAAATTGTTTACAGTTTGATATTCAGTAAACCCCAAACCTCAAAAAAAATCATGAGGTAATTGCCCCAGATTGTCTGACTCTGAGCAACCAAGCAATGCCACCAAACAAGAGCCAAACAATGTCTGCAATCATAGAAATCAAACCTGTCTTCTCCTTCATTCTTTACTCCAACAACTGATAGCACACATTCTTTTGTCATACAGTTACATAACTCTCTTTTTTCTACAGTGTGTATTTCTTTCCCCATGTGTGAAGCCCCAGGTTTTGATTAAGGAAACCAGTGCTAACCATCAGGCAAAGGTAGCAGATTTGGCTGTATTCTGGCCCCTATTGGTCTCCAACTTCATGTTTTGATGCTGCGGGTGGCTCCTTCTCTGTTATTACCCTGCTGATTCCAGCCAACCATCTTGAGAATTTACATTTGTGGGCAACTTAAGAAATTAAACCTGCCTGCCTGCTTACTAATCATGTATATTAGATGACCCAATACTACCCAAAATCCTACCAAGTCTAGATGACTCTTGTTTATTAATGATTGTTCATACAATCTCACTAAATGAGACTTGTCACTTGATCTACCATGCTGAAACTCACTTTCTGTGGATGGCAGTTGAGGAGCAGGAGACTGCATAATAGCTCCAGATGGTTTAAATTTTGATCTTAGTAATGTCCATGACCAGATGATAATCTGAAGATATAGTCTTATTCCAGGTACTGGGGTTGGCTAGGGTTGGCAGCGATATCTTCTGGGAATCCACAAACAAAACAGAACAGGGTGGTGCAGCCACCTTTATACCCTATTAATAATAATAATGATGGATGGCCAACTCTCAACTCCAGCCATCCATTTGGAAGAACAACCCCCAACACACATCTGTCAATGGCAGTTGTTGAGGCTGAGTTCAAAGCCTGAAGCTGCTTGGGGAAGCTGTATGGTGTTGAAAGAAGCTACAATTGTGAACCCTGCTAATTTGCACATACATTGCAGGACTTCCATTTAATTCTCCAGCCCACCTGTAAAATTATTTTTACAGGCCGTAAAACTGTTTTCCCATAAAATAAAGTTAGCTTCAAGGAGCCTGTAGAGCCATCCAGGAAGTCCTCCAATATCTGTAGAGCTTACTGAATCAAATTTAGCCCCACTGAAGTCAGATTTTGCAGCAAAATCTGATTGAAGGGGCTGAAAATCTGGTAGATGAGATCCACAATCTGTATACAGCATTACACCCGTCGAGAGTGTACACTCTCTACGGACGAGTGCTTTTTCAATTGAGGTTGAGGGTGTGCACTCTCAACGGCCAAGAGGTTTTCTCCCAGCCGTTGAGGGTGTACACCCTCAACCGCCGAGAGTGTTCCTCTTGGCTGTCGAGAGTGTACACTCTTGACGGCCGAGAGGAACACTCTCGGTCATTGAAGGTGTAGAGAGTGTTCCTCGCGGCCGTTGAGAGTGTACACTCTTGACAGCCGAGAGGAACACTCTCGGTCGTTGAAAGTTTACACTTTCAACGGCCGAGAGGTTTTCTCTTGGCCGTTGAGGGTGTACACTCTCAACGGCCAAGATGTTTCT